CTTAATTTTTCTTCTTCCGTTAATAAGTCCCGAAAGCTTTGTAAAAACTGTCCAACTTTTCGAAAAGAATGAATACCAAGTCTTTCCGCCACAGCCTCCACATTATTCAAATTCGGACCTGCTAACATTGTCATATGTTTCATTGTCACAACTCCAGCTTTAATAAAAGCATCATTCATACCTGGAAAATCATTTTTTTTAAAAACCATTCGTGACCCATACACAATTGGTTCTTCTAATAACCAAAATAATTAGGATTTTTTTGTAAACAATCTTTTCCTTTCTACAACACTCCATGCTCTAAACACACTACAATAGAAAGAAAACTCACATTCAAACAACTGGTATCCAGAAGAAAGATTGTTTGTTTCAAACCTAAATTTCCAACCTGTCTTAAAATACGCCCAGGAGTTTGCAAACTTCCATATAAAAACTTTTGCACAAATTGTATTCTAAAAGCAGCTTTCCTGCTTACCAAATGAATCAAACCTTGACCTCCAAATTCTCTTGATAAAAATAAGACACTCTGCGGTATCCAATGCATTTGATCCCAAAAAAAATCAACAAGCATTCTTTGTACTTTTATTAACAAATCGATTGGAGGTTCTAAAATTGCTAATTTGTGCCACAACACTATTAAAGGCTATTAAATTGTTAATAATTAAAACTCTACCTCTATAAGACAAACATGAGTGGAGCCATTTCCATTTTTTTAATCTTCCTTCAACCCTTTCTAAAATTCCATTCCAATTCTCTTTTTCTATGAGCTCATTCCCCAAATGAACACCTAAATATTTAAAACCTCCACTAGTCCAATTTAAACCACCTGGCAATTTAGGTTTTTCTTCCCCCCAGTCTCCTACTAATAAACCTGAACTCTTTTTCCAATTGATTTTAGCAGATGAAATTATGCCAAATTCATCTACTATTGAAGATGTTTTATTAACGTCATCTTGATTTCTAATAAAAACAACAACATCATCTGCATAAGCTGAAGTACACACAGGTATAAAATTATCATCAATTTTTAAACCTTCCAATTCATTACGAAATCTATTCAACAAAGGTTCAATGGCTAAAGTGTACAACATGCCCGATAATGAGCAACCTTGTCTTATCCCTCGATTTACCTTAAAAGATGCACTTAAGCCACCATTGACCTTCAGAACACTCTCAATACCTCCATAAAGAGCTTTAACCATATTTAAAAAAACTTTAGAAAAATTAAAAGCCTCCATTGTACTCCATAAATATTTGTGCTCCACTCGATCAAAAGCCTTCTCTTGATCCATCGAAAAAAGGCCCAATTTAAATCCAAACAAGTTAGAAGTATCAAGTAAATCTCTTATAAAAAAATATGATCAAAAATCAATCTGCCTGGAACACAGTAGGAC